AAGTAGGACGCTGCTGTGTCAAACAGGGCTAGTGGTTGTAATTGTCCTAAGGAGGAAAGTTGATGAAATCAAGCAATAAAGAGCCAACACCTCCCGTACATGAAAAATTGGATAACATCATGAAATATGCTGGTAAAAACTGGCTCCCCAGTGTAAATGGCAAAGGGGTATATGTGTTTGGTTTTTTAGTTTCTTTCGAAGCAAACTCCTAATGTCATTCTCTCAGAGAGGCCTTCCCTTCCTACCCCATCTAAAATAGCACCCCCTCTCTTTCTAGCATTTACTGATCAAATTAATATTAACATTAGTCAGCTTCTATGAAGAAAGGTACTTAGTCTTGCTCACCTATAAGATATTTAACACTCAGCGGGTACCCAAGAAATTCTCAGATTAAAGAAATGGGAAAGCATTCTTTGATGAAATTAAAATAATTCTTTTTTTTTTTTTTTTTTTGAGACGGAGTTTCACTCATGTTACCCAGGCTGGAGTGCAATGCCGCGATCTCGGCTCACTGCAACCTCCACCTCCCAGGTTCAGGGAATTCTCCTGCCTCAGCCTCCCGAGTAGCTGGAATTACAGGCACCTGCCACCACACCAGCTAATTTTTTGTATTTTTAGTAGAGGCGGGGTTTCACCATGTTGGCTAGGCTGGTCTCAAACTCTTGACCTCAGGTGATCCACCTGCCTCAGCCTCCCAAAGTACTGGGATTACAAGCATGAGCCACCACGCCCAGCCTATAGACAGTTCTTTATTAGAGATTAAGTTGATTCAGATACCAATGTTACAAATGTATTAATATTTTAAATTTTGTTATAGTGTTATAAATGGCTAAGCATTTTAAAAATTAGCATTTCTACTGGTTCCAGATTTTACAAATAAAGCAAAAACTCAATAATGGAAGAAACAAAATCAGAGTCATACCAAAACACCATGATGTGTTGGGGCCACTGTCCTCTAAAATTTGCAAGCGGATTCAAACCAAATCCACTGTGTATAACTGCATGGAAAGACTATTCATCAATTTCAAGTTTTGACTTAACAAATACCTCCTTCTCGATTGTTTGTTTTATCATTTATATCGACTGCTGAAATCTAAAGATTTTCGTAGACTGAGACAAACTTGATTCTTTTCCGTGTATTTTTTCTAAATTCGATGCAAGTACTTCCAAGCAGCCCAACGATTTTCACCAGAAAGAATATGAAGATGACAGGCAGAAGAAGTCATCTGCTGGGTCACACAAAGGTCTCACCACCGAGTTTTGTAAGATTCCAACCTACACTCCCAAACGCTTGAGACTTTTTAAGTATTCATGATCATTAATCTCCATAGGATCCTTATTTGACTTTACCTTTGTAGCCTGTTCACTTTCCTATTTTCCTCAAATCTCCAACATCCCCATTCCCAATTTCTAGAAAAGCAGGCAATCAGGAGAACCTGAACATCCACCCACTTAAATGCATCAGGCATCAGTTATCATATCCTCTATCCGTGCTCCTATTAACAGGGCTATGCTACATGTTATTGGCCAAACTCTCCATGTATATACTAGAAACCATCCCCTCTCACTTACCCAAGGCTATGACTCCAACAATTCCCTCCCTCATCAGTATTTCTACTCTCCACTGAACCATTCTCAAAAGCATGCAAATGTTATTTTTCCCCATTTCAGGTAATGGCAATCCTTCCAGTTGTTCAGGCCAAAACTGGTATTATTTTTGACTTAACTCACACCCAATTTACAAGCCATCCGCAAATCTTTGAGGTCCTTCCTCCAAAATATATCCAAAATCCAACTACTTCTCATTACCTTTATTGCTACCAACCTGAACAAAATCACTCTGTCTTTTGTCTGGACTCCTGCATGTGTCACCCTGCTTTCATTCTAACTCCCTGACCCCCTTGACCCCTTCTGTTCTCAGCACAACAGCCAGAGGGATCCTGTGAAAACATACATCACTGAATGAATTAACAACTTATTCATAATTCTAAAAACATTTACAAGCCAGTTTTATGTCCTATTTTTCAAAGGAAATTGAAAAGTTTTCTTCCTTAAATCTTCCTTGCTGTCAGGGAGAAAAAAATTTAAGAAAATGATGATCATCAAATTTATTCCCCTAAATACTTAACTCTTTAAAAAGAAGGCCTTTTTCCTACCCAAGAGGGGGTGGCCAAAAGTAAGGGAGCAAGTCTCCATAATGCCTGTCCCTGAGGTAAAGCAAGGACATGTGCCCTTTATTTGACCAACTTCTCCCTACCATTAACTCAGTCTCTCTTTTTTTTAAAGCTCCCTTGATCTGTTTCTTACAACTAAAAACACCCCTTAATCACCATGTTTCTCCAGATTTGGGATTGTTCTGTTTTGTTCTGATTTGGACACCTGAATTCCAAGATATAGGAAAGGCTGAATCATTGTTCCAGGGAGGCTGCTCAAGTAATAGGAATTTTAAAATTGTATTTATTTTTTATTTTTGGAGAACAAATTCTTGCTCTGTCACCCAAGCTGGAGTGCAGTAGCACGTCTAGGCTCACTGCAACCTCTGCCTCTCAGGGTCAAGCGATTCTCCTGCCTCAGCCTTCCAAGCAGCTGGGACTACAGATGCGACCACCACCCCCAGCTAATTTTTGTGTTTTTAGTAAAGATGGGGTTTCATCATGTTGGCCAGGCTGATCTCAAACTCCTGACCTCAAGTGATCCGCTCACCTCAGCCTCCCAGAGTGCTGGGATTACAGGTGTGAGCCACCACACCTGGCCTAAATTTTTTTTTTCATTGAGATTGATTTACCTCTCAGTATGGTGACTTGGACTTGAAACCACATGTCCACTGAACAAAAAAATTTTCACTGAGGCATATAATGTTTCTTAAATTCTCAAATTCCTTTGTGTTTTTTGTGCCAGAGACCTTCCTCTAAACTCCAAATAGTACATTTTGAGAAGCCTACAGAAGATGAAAAAGACTAAAAAGAAAGATTAAGCCAGGTGTAGTGGGGGCATGACTATAGTCCTAGCTACATGGAAGGCTGAGGCAGGAGAATTGCTTGAGCCCAGGAGTTGGAGGCTGCAGTGAGCTATGATCACATCACTGCACTCTAGCCTGGGCACAGAGGGAGACCCTGCCTCAAAAATATTAATAAAAAATAAATGAAAGAAGCCGGGTGCGGTGGCTCACGCCTGTAATCCTAGCACTTTGGGAGGCTGAGGTGGGTGCATCACCTGAGGTCAGGAGTTCAAGACCAGCCTGGCCTACATGGTGAAACCCCCATCTTAAAAAATAAATAAATAAATAAATGAAAGAGATTAAAACAGTATTTTAACAAGACTGGTATTCATTCGACTTCGGGGATGTTTTAAAAGTAAATAAACTCTAGAACACTGGACTAATAAATTTATGAAGACGACTCCTTCCAAGCCTTCCCTACCTCTATAAATGGCAACTGTATCCTTTCTTTGGCTTAGGCCAAAACCTTCAGAGTCATCCTTGACTGGCCTTTCTCCTCAGGTCCATTGCATTTGCTATTCCCTCTGCCTGGAACGCTTTTTCTCCAAATTACCACAGTGTCCCCCTTACCACTTGGAGATTCTCTCATCAGTGAGGCCTTGACTGAACAACCCATTTAGATGAGTAAGTTGCCTCCAGCATGGTCCCTCATCTTCCCTGCTCAGACTCCAAACTTCCCTGATTTTACTTATTTACTAGTTAATTACTCATCTCTCCCTCACCAGCACTCAAACTCCACAGAGATTTTTGTCTGTTTTATTAACTACTGAATCACAAATTAGAACATCTGACACACAGTTGGGACCTAAACAATTGTATAATGAATGGAAGTGACTAAGTAAAACTATATATAACATTTGCTTCAGGAAAGACAATCATGTGATCCTTAAATTATGTACTTAGTCCTCCTAACAAGTTCTACAAGAACAAAAATATCTTTATAAAGCATACTGGTGGTAACGTTTAGGCGCAAATTTAAGAAGCAATGAAACATGTCTCAGCACCTGTTCAGCACTTTAAAGCACACAAGATACAGTTCATCCTTTACTTCTATTAACATAAAACAATTATCTTGAAAATTGCAGGGAGCAGTTGGCATCACAGCTTTACATTATATCAGTTCCTTTTACATACAATCAGGTTCCAACAATGAAGTCACTGGATCCCCTATTATTTTCAGCTGCCAGCATTAATGAGCCTCTAACCTTGGCTAATCTTATTGGAAACATGATCTCCCAAGTGCTCTCCTAACATTTTCAATTTCCAAATAAAACTCCAATATTTTTCTGACCTATTACAATACTTAAGCATTCAAAAATGTGCCACCATCTCTGCCTGAAGTACTGAGTTGATTGGTACTCATATTGCCACCAAACAAGTTCTCAGATTCAAAGAGAAAGTACAAAAAATATTAAAAGAGTAAATGAAAATAACTATTAACATTAACTAACAATGCGGTGGGGTTACTGATATCTAAGGAAAGAAGAGTTACGGAACTCTTTCTCAACACTCGAGTACACCAAAAGTCTGTACAAAGGTCGCAAGTTATTTTCTGTGGCTTTGCAGAAAAAAACATCTAATATCAATTATCGAGAAAGTTAATACGGCATGGTTTTTAAATTCTCAGTTTCGCATGTTCATCCAATTTACAGAAGCAAAAACAGCTAAAATCAGTCTGTTCCACTCCATTCCCATGATTCCTACGTCAGTAAGTTCTTGGGCAACTTGGTGCAATTGGGAGAAAAAAGGCTAATCCAGAAACAATGAAAACGGAACGGACAGTACACTCAGGTGACCTCTCACATTCTAACAATAGCTGTGCGAACTTGTACCCTGCTTGCTCAATCACCAGAACGGCAAGATTCTAGCAGTGGTGAAGTTTTTCCACAGCCGAAGGGCACCGTCAAGGTCCGCATTGCATCTGCCACTCACACCTCCATGACCTCCGTCACCCCAATCCCCCGAAAATACAAGCCCTCGCTGGGCCCGGGTGACCCCTCACCGTCACTGCATTTATACTGGCAGAGACCGTCCTCGCCTCCCAGGAGGTCCAAGGCGGCGTTCAGGTACGTGTCTATCTTGTGAACGCCGTTCCGGATGGTCTTCAGGGTGGCCCTCCAGTCGGTGGTCTGGGCCTGCTCCTGGCACCTGACAACAGCGGCAGTGAGGAGCAGGAGGATGAGCGCGGGGCGCGGGAGCAGAGCCATCCGCGCAGCGCGGGGCTCTACGGGTCCCCGAGCCGCGGCGGCAGGCGTGGCCCCACGGAGCCCCCGGGACGCGCTAGGCAGCGGCGCGGGCCCGGGGCTTGGCAGCCACCGGCTCCATATCCACGCCTCCTTCCCTGCTGGCCGGCAGGGCCTCGCAGGCTTTACGGGAACCGCCTCTGGGAGGCAGCGCCGTCGCAGAGACGCTTCCGCTCACCTAGGCCAGCGCGCCCGCTCCCCATGGGCAGCGACCGTCCCCTGTGCGCCTGCGCCGGGGGCGGGGCGGCGCGCCGGGGGTGGGAAGCGCGGAGCTTGGGACTGGGCCGGGCCTCCACGCCCACGAGATTTCCGCGGTGCCCTCACGAGGCCCTCGGTCCTGGTTCACCAGAGAAGTTTAAAAAATACCCAGGCCCGGGCCCGTTTTCTGGGAGCCTGATTACTTTGATCCTAGGTAATAGGACCTCGGACCAGTGGGCGTCAGTATTTTTTAAAAGCTCTCCGGGCGATTAACCGTGAAGCTAGAGTGCAGAGCTAACCTCGGTGTCCTAACCTGCCCGGTCGGGGTTTTCAGCACAGTAGCCCCGAGAGACAGACTTTTCTGGTTGTCGACCATATCGGAGAAAGTAACTCCTGTGTTCGCTTGCAGAGAGCACTGCGAGAGGTCCAGCTGAGCGTGCGGCTGGAAGACGTGGTTCCGCTGGCAACGTGGGCAGAGTCCGGATCTCAGCTCGAGGAGGGCTTTGTCTCCCCTCATCCTCTCCCGCTCCTCCACGCGTGCTGTGGCCGCTGTTGCGGGAACCGGATCTGGGAGATGCCAACCCAGGCCTTGGCAATGCCTGACTCTAATCAGGAAGAGCTAGATGCTAGTTTAGACTTTCTGGAAAAAGAAAATGCTCCAACAGTAAAAATCACAAAATTCTTCCCTGGTAAGGAAGAAACAGTAGTGTAAACTTAAATATAGTAAAATAAATAAATAAACTCTTAAGAAAATCATTGTTTTCCTACTCAAGGGATTTTGTAACTTGATAGTTCCAGTGACGTTTGTTTCTCTGTACCCACCCTTCTGCCCCAGCATTGTGCAGAAACCATAAATAACTATTGCAGTAGTAGTTTCTACCAGTTATAAATACCTGGTTATCTTAGAATCACAGAAGTTTCCAAGAATTTTACAGTAAGATCCAGAGCAATGTTGAAAGTATTGGACAGGCCAGACACATTGGCTCACTCAGGTCTGTAATCCCAGCACTTTGAGAGACCCGAGGTAGGTGGATCACTTGAGGCCAGGAGACCAGCCTAACCAACATGATGAAACCCCGACTGTACTAAAAATACAAAAAATTAGCCAGGTGTGGTAGCAGGCACTTGTATTCCAGCTACTCAGGAGGCTGAGGCAGGAGAATCAATAGAACCCAGAAGGCAGAGGTTTCAGTGAGCTGAGACAGCGCCACTGCACTGCTTCCTGGGCAACAGAGGGAGACTCAGTCTCAATAAATAAATAAATAAATAAAAATAAAAATAAAGTATTGGGCATAGGAGTGTCCTTTCTATAAGAATTACCAGTAAGTTCTAGGTTTGCCCTTTTGTGTTTGTTACAAACTTAATGAGCTTATAATAAATGTTCAGTGCATAGTTCATAAAAATTTACTGAGTGCATACTGTGTGCCAGGCACTTCATGAATATGATCAGTCACATTCAGAACACTGCTTTACAAGGATGCAGGCTTTGGGTAAGTTAGAAACACAGAAAGGCATTCCTCCCTACCAAAGGGGTAGCCCAACCCCAGGCTGGAGACTGCCTGGACTTCACTCAGCCCCTCAACCAGGAGTCTTGGGCAGTGATTAATTCCTACCACAATGGAGAATGGGGAAGAATGTTCCCTAGAAGGTATTATTATCTTCATCTTTTACAATAAAAGAGTTGAGGTGAGAAGTCATGTGACAGTATCTAGTCCAAACAAAGGCCTCTTTCTGTCTTCACAAAATACCAATGATATTTTTATTTTTTAATTTTTAGACAACACATTTCAATGCATTTAAAAAAGGGAATTTAGAATTAACTGTCTTAGCTTTCTGGAACATTGGTTTCTGAGCTCCAAAGTCTGGAAGTCAGATTAGATTACCTCTGAGACACCGCCACTCGAATCCTTAAAACAGGCTTGGTTCTTACAAGCCTTCTTCCAGAGAAACTCCCTAGTCCAGGGATAAGTCTAGAAAGAAAGGACAGAATGTAGTAAAATAACCTGGTTCCAGCCCTCAGTTATGACCCAAAGCCTCTCCTTCCCCCCCTTTATTTATTTATTTACTCCTTTGTGATCTCTAATTTCTTACACCTTAACTACTACTACTTTGAGGACTCAGAAGTAGTTTATATGTCAGATCTCTCCTTAGGGATTAACTTCTCAAATGCCAGTTCTTCTGGCTGATGGAGCTGTTCTCCTTCTCTCGCAAGCAAATCTTTTTCACTATCTTTCCCGTGGGAATCACCACCATTTTTGTAGAAAACAACACTCTTAAGTTTTATTTTCACATCCTTTTCACATTTAATCATTATATATTTGTTGTTCTGCTGCAGTAATTACAAATTTACTTTTTCCTCTTAATTGATGCTGTCAAATACCAGGGATCTGCACTGACCACAGACTGACTATATAATTTGTAGGGCTTAGTGTAAAATAAAAATACAGAGCCACTTGCTCAAAAATTAAGAATTGCAAGGTGATAACAGCAGAGCATTAAAGTAAGTACAGAGCCCTTTTGAGTGTGCGGTCTTGTGCTATTACACGGGATGCATGCCCTGATTCACCATATCATATAACTTTTTTTTTGTTTGGACACCGTGTCTTGCTCTGTCACCCGGCTGGAGTGCAGTGGATCTTGACTCACTGCAACCTCCACCTCCCAGGTTCAGGCAATTCTCCTGCCTCAGCCTCCTGAGTAGCTAGGACTACAGGCATGTGCTACCGTGTCCAGATGACTTTTTAAAAATTTTTAGTAGAAACGAAGTTTCGCCATGTTGGCCAGGCTGCCCAACATGGCGAAACTTCGTTTCTGCTAAAAATTTTTAAAAATTAAAAAATAAAAATATCTTTGGTATTTTGTGAAAGGTCTCGAACTCCTGACCTTAAGTGATCCCCTTGCCTTGGCCTCCCAAAGTGCTGGGATTACATACAAGAGCCACTGTGCCCAGCCCATATCATATAACTTCTAGATGACCCACTTCCGTCCTTTCTTCCCAAATTTTGGCATAAAATGTTTGAGAAGAGCTTTCTTTACAGGAAACTTTCATTTAACCAGTAAAACCTGTTATTTTGATGACAGACACCATTAATTGCAAATCCACAACTGTCTTTCAGGTCTTTCCTGCCAGCGAGTGGCTGGCTTGTCTATATATACTTTGACTGTGGTGGGCAGGAGCTGAAGATAGGACGTTACTTAGGATACAGTAAACTAGGTATTAGTATGGCTTGGTCCAGGAAAGAAGTGGGGGTATGAAAAGTGGTCATATTCTAGATTCAGCTTGATGGTAGAGCAAAAGGGATTTGCTGATGTGAGAGAAAAGGAGGAATCAAGGATGGCATTGAAATTTTGACCTAAGCCATAGGATAGAGTTCTCACTAACTGAAATGGGGAGGATTGTGGAAGGAGCAGGTTTTGGGGGAAAATTTAAGAAATTCATTTCAGTCATACCATGTTCAAGAAGCTTATTCTGAGTCTGCAGTTCAGCATACAGGTTAGAAATATATTTTGAAGTTGTCAGGATAGAAATGGCTTTTAAAGTCATGGGACTTTGCTGGGCGCAGTGGCTCACAGCTGTATTCCTAACACCTTGGGAGGTCAAGGTGGGCAGATCGCTTGAGTCCAGGAGTTCAAAGCAGCCTGGGTAACATGGCAAAAGCTTGTCTCTATAAAAAAATACAAAAATTAGCCAGGCATAGTGGTGCATGCCTGTAGTCCCAGCTACTTGGGATGCTGAAGCAGGAGGAACCTTTGAGCCTGGGATGCAGAGGCTGCAGAGAGCTGAGATCGTGCCGTTGCACTCTAGTCTGGCAACAAAGCAAGACCCCGTCTCAAATAAATGAATAAATAAATAACATGGGACTAAATGAGATCCTCTAAAAAGTGAGTGTGCACAAAGAAGCAGAGCAAGGTCTAAGTCTTAGGAGGTCAAGGAACAAAGAACAAATAAGGAGTCTAAGAAGGAGCAGCCAAGTGTAGCAGAAGTGGAACTAAGAGAATACAGTATTCTGGTGTGTCAGAGAAAGACAGAACCACCAATTCTGCTGATGTAAGGAAGGTGGGGGCTGGATATTGACTACGAGATTTAGTAACATGGGGGTTATTGGTGAACTTCACAAGAGTCTCATTGAAGTACTGGGGAGAAAACACAGTTGTAGTTAGAGGAAGAAAATAATTAGGAATGTCAATTATAGTGAATATCAAAATAAATTATGAAAATATAAAATGTACTATATTTGTGCTGATTCTTGTCTGAATGATATATTAATAAATACCTTGGAATGGGAGATTCTGGGTGGCCAAGACTAGGCTTTCTTTTCTTTTCTTTTTTTCAGAGACAGGATCTTATTCTCTCACCCAGGCTGGGGTAGCATGATCATAGTTCACTGTAACCATGAACTCTTGGGCTTAAGCAATCCTCCTGCCTCAGCCTCCTGAGTAGCTAGGACTACAGGTGTACACCACCATGACTGGCTAATTTTTGCTGTTGTTATTATAGAGATGGGATATCCTTATGTAGCTCAGGCTGGTCTTGGACTCGGGCTCAAGTGATCCTTCTGCCTTTGAGGGAATGAATGTGTTCTCTTTCTGGGTCCACAAGGGGGCGTTGTTTTAAGGGCAAGAACTTCCCAGTGCCATGCCCCACACCCATCTCTCTCCATCCAGGAGATTTAATGGTCTCTGTTTTAATTTTCATGGGCTTGGGAAGAATAAAAAAATTAATCACTCCAGCGGAAGTTCTTAGAAACTCCTTTCATTGGCCAGAGGTCTAGGAGAAGGTGGGGGTTCCTTCCAGGTTAAAGTCCCCTTCTTCCACACCCCTTTGGACTACATGTTTGGATTCCCTTCCACGAGCACTCTCGTGGAAGCCTGTCTTCCCCTCCTAAACTCCATCTCTCTCTCTTAATTCCTTTCCACCCAGTATGGAAGCTCTTTCCTCTCCTGAATTCCATCTTTCTGAATTCTCTCACTCAGTTGAGAGGAGCTTTCCTTCTCTGGATTTCCCCTCTCGATTCCCTTTCCACACACACTCTCTCTCATGTGGAAG